CTTTCATTAATAAAAAATACTAACTGAACTTCTTATCCGGAATGAAAAACCAACTCCAAATAAATAGATTCATGTGGCCATTAACTCAATAGTCAGACCTTTTTGAGGATTAATATATTGTTTCTAGAAATTGTGGAAGGTACTACAGAAATTAACATTTTTCTAGTTAGTATATTTTATTGGAAATGGATGCCAGGATAATGATCTGTCTATGAATATAAAGTACAAAATATATATACATATAGATAATTGATAGGTTTGAAAAATGTTTAAAACAAGCACTCCATCTAATGAGTTTCAATACTTTTGTCAATGAATGTCAGTATTGGTGGTGAAATCTTATATATTCTTGAATGTGTTTTAAGAAAAATTCTCTTTCTAATAATGAAAAATGGATTCAGTTATGCGATGTCTAATATAGGCCTTTGGCTAAAACTAGTCATGATTAAACATCTTTATTTGTGAGATTCTTTTATAGGAATAAAGTTTTTAACATTGAAAATGTCTAAATAACCATCATAAATGCCTTATTGTTTAAATGATGTATCTAATAATATTATGAGGATAACTTTCCTAGAATAATTTAAGAAGCATTAGTATTTTTGACTGTCTGATTTTAGTGAGTTCCTTAGATAAATATTTTGTCCAAACCAAGTGGTTAAATAGAAAGGAGAATTTTTTGTTATTCTAAATAAGAATCTGAATTGTTGTTAGAGTGAATTGTTGTTTTGGTATATTTATAGTACTAAATGATTTGATGAAACTTTGCAGTTTCTATGTTTTGGTAGGTTGTAACCTTTTTATAATTGTTTGGTGGTGGTTAATTCTTTATGTAGGCACATAATGTACAAACAAGTTTATGTATTTTTTGTATACAACCATTGTACAAGATTATTTTCTTCCATATATTCAAAATACTTTAAAAATAGAAATATACTGTTATTGGAAAAGAATATTATAGTATATTATTGTGATTTGGTTAATCCTCTTTGCCATCGAGAAGTCCGTGACTTATTTTATATAAAGGATTGATGATGATTTAACAGAAATGATAGCATTATTTTATATATTGTATATGTATACTTTTCAAAGATCACTAAACATGATCATATTTGGTGCTGTAATTTTTAACATCTGTTCTATAATACTAATATATGACAATATGATATGTTGTAGATACAGTAATTCTGTTTATGCCTTCTTTTTTCTTAGACAACAAAGATAACCCTGAATTATTTACAGCTGTATTATATTTATCTGTATATGTCCTTGGTGTGGCACAGGTGCATTGTTCAAAATGTTATTTAACATATTTTTAGCTTAATCCCCATTTGTAATAAGTGAAAAAAAATTTGTAAATTTCCAAATTATGAGTGAGAATTGAATCTTGATTAATTTGTAACTCATTACTATATACGTACTTATTTGTATTAATGGTTCCAAAATTGACAGTTTTTAGTTTTATAGTGACAATATTTTATAAGCATTATTAGTATGCTTGGAAAAAAGATGATGTATATATATACATATATTAATAATGGTTGAAAAAAAAATGGTATCATGTGATAATACCTGTATTTGTTACTCTCAAATTAATTGCATATTTAGTAGTTTATTTTTATGGAGTATTTTGTAAGGGGGGTTAGAATGTAATTAGAAAGCTAATTACATGGATTTGTAGCTTTTGTAGATTAAAAAAATGTTACACATAAAGGTGTAATGGTGTTTACTTAGACCTCAAAATTCGATGGTAAATTTCTTTATTTAATGCCAAAGACAAAATTAGAACCTTCATATTAAACAAACACCATCTGAAACCTACAAGATATGTTAGGTTTTTTGAAAGATCAAATGGATGCAGCAGTTATAATGTACATTTAAATGGTTTTTCTTTCTTTGGATTTTACACTAGTTTAAACACCATTTTGAGTTATTATACGTAATCGTACATATACACTTAAGTATCAAGTATTTTCCAAGAAATGGGTACAAACATACAACCAGTTCTAAACACACTATACAAAAGTTCTTATTTGGGCTACAAAAAGAACTCCCCTCCCAATCAAGTTTGGCCATGAAGATGCAAAGTTTAGGGTGTTGGCCAAGCAGTGTTGATTTGTCAGAAAAATTGTAGATGTTGAATACACAGCTTTATCTTTAGATTACAGACAACAGAATATCAAAAATGCTCCCACTTTCTGTTAATAAATATCAACAAGTGCTGCTTAAACTATTTTTATAGCAAATTACAATAATTAACACCCGTCCTGTATCAGTAATCAGTACTATACATGATTGCTCATAGGATATTTTTTTACACTATTTCATCACAAAACAATTATTTTAACATGAGGCATACATAAAGGAAAACACCACATTGTTTGTGTTTATTGATTTTTTTCTAATTTTAAGTTTATTTTATGAAAGAGGAGTCATGCACAAGAACACTGTTCTTGTCAATCAAGAATGTTCGTATACGCAGTGGTGTTAATTCTGAGATCTGAAGTATTATTTGTCTGTTTCGAATTTCGCACAAAGCTACATGAGGGCTATCAGCTCTAGCCATTCCTAATTTAGCAGTGCAAGACTAGAGGGAAGGCAGCTAATCATCACCACCCACCGCCAACTCTTGGGCTACTCTTTTACCAACGAATAGTGGGATTGACCGTCACATTATAATGCCCCCACGGCTGAAAGGGCGAGCATGTTTGGTGGGACGGGGATTCGAACCCGCGACCCTCAGATTGGTAGTCGAGCGCCCTAACCACCTGGCCATGCCGGGCCTAGATCTGAAGTAAATACAGTGGAAAGAATTTTAAAGATCCAATTCACTAGTAAAAATGGAGAAATCCAAGATTCAAAACATCTTTTCCATAAACTTATGCTTTTGATACTAGAATATTTATCTATTTAAACAACAAATACCACAAAATCTGTCAATTTAGCCTAACATTTTATTACATCACCATATCTTGAGGCAAGTGTTTCAAATGGAAAACAGGTTTGTCATTATGATTCTGTTATTATATTTATATTTTAAGTCAATTGATTTATTGTATATTTCCTGTGCCCCATTTATTTATTAATTTTTAAATATATTTGGAAAGCAAGCCACAGATCAGTGAATTGAGCTTTTAAAACTTTAATTTTTTGTCAAATACCTTTTACTAGGTGCTAAATAATTATCACAAAAATTGAAGTTTCGGAGTAGGAACCTTGATGAGTATTTTGTTATCCAATAATATTTTTTATGTAATGCTTAAACAATCAAAAAGCAACAAAACAACAATTAGGATATATATTTAATTTACAATTCTAACAGTTGTTTTTCATGCACCCTTGTTACAGATCTTAATCCATTTCTTTATTATTTACATACAGGTCTTCACTTTTCATTAATATCTCATACCATACTAAATTATTTGTGCTCTAATATTACATTGTCAGTCATTACAGCAAGAAGTACACTAAAGGTTCAGGCTGCAATGACAAAACAAATCTTTTCTCATAACAACTAAATATTGGTAGTATTTATAGTTTGTGAATCAACGAGACCAAATTACACCATCACCCAACTGTCCTCTGGCCTAATCTCTACAATAGTCATACATTTTTAGTAGTATGTTTAAGTATCACAGGGCTTTAATAGTAACTCTTTTATAAATTTCACATTCCTGACTTTTTAAAAAATTTAAAATCATATTAAACAGTATTTTTATCATATAACTTGTTACCTACGTAAAATGGGAAATAGCTTTGTAATTTGTGTTAAGAAAAGTCTACAATACATTTTTTACCCAATTAAGATGTTACTTGCCAAATTTTATGATGATTATTTTTGGTAAATATCATTTCAAACTTATTACAAAGACCTAAACTAATGTAATTCAGTTAGTTTAAGCAGACATCAATGAACTCAGGCACTCAAACACCCTGTAAATAATACAATATGCACCAATCAAATAATGATCCAACAAAATAGTAAGAAATCTATGGATAGTTATTTAAAAATTGCATAACTTTATTAAAATGTTTCAAGATTTATAATATTGGAAGGGGGGGGGGGATGTGATCTTTATGATTGCTGCTTTTAATAATTTAGCTAATACAGTTATTAAAAAATTAGGTGCACTGGTACCATTCACTTGTATATCAAAGCAATTCTATAACTATCCAAACCACTTTACACAATTAATAAAAAGTGTTTTGAAAAAATATTTCAATGCCAAGGTAGGGATGAATACTCAAAACAATACAAAAAACTCTAAATAAGTAGGCAAAAATTTCCAAAAAAAACTTTTATTTATGACTAAATGTTGAATTCTGTTCATTTTCATGAATTCAGGTTTGAATAAAAGCTTTAAAACTGCATAATGCTATAAAGTCTTACAATAGCTAATTCCAATAAGTTTGTAACATTGATTCAGTGGCTACTTATGTAGGGATTTTTGTATGGTTTTGTGTATTCATCCTTACCTTATTTCTATACTTTTTGGCATTGCCAGCCATATACCATCCTTATTTTTTTCAGAAATTTTTAACTGCTACTTGTATGAATATTAATAATGAATGACAATTGCTATGAAGTCAGCAGTTTTAACCGGGGTCATGAATTGTCTTGATGGCCAATGTTTTACTGTTGCACTCCCCAAGTTAAAGTGCAACATTCAGATGTGTAAATCATTGCAACAACTTCAAGCATTTGTGAACTAGCCCTTCTGATGCCAGAATCAGCATAATCAGCAAAACCTTTGGCTGTTATGCTACTTCTCTACTATAGTAATGTTTTTTGGCTTAACTGAAGGTCTTAATAGCTTTTGAAAACCTCAAAACCCTAAGTTAGACATTTATAAAAGTCATAGATTGTTATAAGAGAGATTTAAGACTATAATGAGCCATACATAATGTTCGGTGGCCATTTTTTTCTTAGCTCATCCCCACATACTAAGCACTACCATGCTTATTGATACAGAAAAAAGATTTGTATACAACAACAGACAGGCCTTGTTGAATATGTTTATTATAAATAAAAATATTTTCATAAGTAGATAAATACTAATCCATGTAAGGATTACAATACCCAACTGAGATACAGTGACTTTCATAAAACTCAAAAGTAAGTATTTGTGATTCAACATTTTGTGTATTATCTTTAATAAAAATGGCCTATTAACAGCACAAGTAGTTCAACTTCCTGCTATTAGCTAAGATGTACAATAAATAAACATACTGAAATGTCTTAAGATGTCATCCTATTCAAACCACATTTTTTTCATATCTTTAAGCCCTTCCAGTGGCTCAGCAGCAAGTCTGAAGGTTTATAATGCTAAAAACAAGGTTTTGATACTCGTGGTGGGCATAACACAGATAACCCATTATTTAGCTTTGTTGTTGTTATATCTTTAACTGTTTTTTAAAGCTTATAAGTATTCTAATATAATTAAAAATATTAATATAAGAACAACTTCAAATATACTGAAATCATACTTGAAACATGCAGCTAATATGTTTATCTTGCTGTAAATTAAGGTTATAATAATATAAATTTGTGAATCCCAATTTTTCTGGAATTAAGCATCAAATTTCAGCCTCTTTTTTTTAAAAAAAAACTTCAGTAAATGATTTTAAGTATCAAATGTTTAAGCTGTTTACCTCCACACACAATAAATTCTTTCATCTTGTATTTTAAAATAACTTCCCAACATAAACTTAGTATATAACAATAACACAAACATTTTAAACCACTTCGTGATCATTTATGGGCATCCAATATTGACAAAATATAGTTAAGAACTTTTTTAAACAAATAAATTACTTTAGTATTTTAAAGTATCCATAATTTAACAGAACCATTAACTGTATCATATGACAATTTATGTAATGAAATATGCTTTAAGCATACTTTCTGCAATATTTGATTACATTAATTATTATACAAAATTTTACAGATATGTACTTAAAGTACAGCACACTGTTGCTCTAGAAACCAGGTTTCGATACCCGTGGTGGTCAGAGCACAGATAGCCCATTGTGTAACTTTGTGTTTAACTACAAACAAAAAAAACCTATTGCTCATTACAAAAATGTACATTTGAACATATAATTACAACAAAACAAAAAATCAGGGTATGTAGTACAAAATATATTTAAACAAAAAAGTCACTTTAGTATTATAGGACTATTAATTGCATTCTATTACAATTTTATGTGATGAAATTTGCTTTACATACATTTCTCACATTATTTCATGACACTAATTACCACACTAGATTGTATCAATATACTTAAGTACAGTACATTATTATTAATAAAAAAAATTTATACTTGAATATACAGTTGCAACAAAACAAAAAATCAGGGTATGTGGTACATGTCCCAACATTTGAATGTGATAAATTTCCCATACAAAATAGATGTCCTTAAGCTGGACCCTCAATTGTGCTGACTTTCATGGTAAAAAAGTATAAAGATTTGATAAGAAATCCAAAAAAGGAAATAAATCCTCCTGGTGAAAGAAAAATAGAATTATATAACAATACTTTCAGCTCTTGTTATCAGACTTATTCTATGAATGCTTCAATTTCAGTTAAGTTGTCTACTCAGAAATTTGCTTTTGATTTAGTATTCAGGTTTTTTTATAAAACCACTATGATTACATGTACATTTGCAGTATCTCTTTATGTATAACTAACTGGCTTAGAATTTATTTTTGAAAACTTTTTTCAAGAAAAAAAGTAATATTTACTTCCTTTCTTGTGTGTATTTTGTTGCCATCAATAAACATCAGCAGTCAAATGTGGAATTTTCTGTTACAGCTGAACTTCACATTAAAACTACTATTCACTAGTTATCTAGTTCTTTCATATTATTATAAGCAAATCAGACCAAGTATATATCAAGAGCAGGTTAATATAATTTTAAAACTGCTTATATATGCAGATTTAACATACCTATATAAAATTTAGCAAAATTGTAAGAAACATTTAAAGGAAATCCTTAAATTAACATGTGTTTATCTGCATGTGTTTGTGCATACTTGTTCAATGCAAGTTTGATACAAATACAAAATTCTGTTGAATGGCATAAAAAATGTTGAGGTTAAAAAAAATCTACATGTTTGTGGGTGAATATATTAAGACAAAAATACAAACCCTGCATGTCAATTTTGACAGTAGGCTTAATGTTTAAAAATAAAAAATTATTGACTTTTCCTACTAATAGTAATTACTTGTCTGTAAGCTGTACACTGTATAGTTATATACTGAATAAGCATGTGAAAAAGAGACCTATGCAAAATCATAAATACTTTTACATCCATTCATGTAAAAAAAAGAAAGAAAAAAATAATACAACTGATGTATATTTTTAAACCTGGTGAACGATGTTATAATTTTCCTATACTGAAAATGTATTTCCGATAGGTACTTACCTCCTCTCACATAAATAGCTATTATCATACAGTGCTGCTCTATATATGCAAAAATAAATAAAAATTCACACATGACACAAGCTTTCTGCATCCCCTCCATTGGAAATGACTCATTCCAATATGTCTTTCATGCAAATCATCCTGCAACAACCTTCTACCAATGATAGTGCAAAACATTCTCATTACGCATGTGACTCCTTCTATTCAATTCTACCAGACTATCACTTCAAGTTTTGGCAGAAAATGGAAGCACCAGTTTTCAGTGGGAGGAGTTTAAGTACCTATCAGAAATACATTTTCAGTATAGGAAAATTATAACTTCTGATACAGTACATTATTTCCGCTCACATAAATAGCTAGAATCCCACAGTGAATAGGTGGAGGGACCAGTGCAAGGGAAGAAAAGAAGCATCCTCTGAAAGCAAGAATTGATGTGGGAGATCATACCATGTCTGAACCAGGTGTACTCTTTGCCCATTGGAGAAAGGTGTGGTATATACGGCTGGAAAAACAAAGGAGCATATTCAAGAGGTGTGGAATAAAACAATGGAAGTGCCCCCAGGCATAGAGTGGCTAGAGCGCGATGGACCACATCCACTGCATCCAAAACCCATACTGCTGGGAACCGACATCCATGCAGAGGTAGGATGAGGATCATACAGTCTTCACCTCAAGTTCAAGAGACTGGAGGGCACCTCAAACCTCCCTGACTCTGGAACAGGGCACATGTTAAGAATAGAAAATGATATATCAATCTGGGAACCTGACATCTGGTATCAAAAAGATGTCTACCATAGAGAAATCATCTTCCTCAACAGTGAAACTGACTGGAACCAAGCCAGGTGCAATAACATCCTCAAAATAAGATACATCAAGGGATAGCAGAAGGGAAAAAGACCATAACAATCCCAAGTACCTCCACCATGACCCATAACACAGTATAACTGAGAGAGGAAGATAGACATCGGTAATCCATGTGTGAGGACATATGTTGATTGGTTCTACTCTAAATCCAAAACCCAGCCACTGGAAATCAACATCTATGTGAGGTTAGGATGAGAGATTCCAATCAAAGGGGTGAACTGCAATTTGACGTCTCACTCCTTTGGTTTTCGTATGCTTTATAGTGGAGGATATCACATCATTTATACCAGCAGAACACCACCACACTACTCTGCATTGAATGGTATTTCTTTATTGATTTTTTAAGGTAAGGACACCCAAACTCCACTAGAAGGGGGGTGAAAGGTGGTGGATAGCCCAAAGGAATGGCATCACTTGAGACAGTGCAATGGGTGACCATGAAACTCTATTTATAAAAGCAGACCATACCAATTTATTCCATGCAAGGGATAGGCAGCTATCCCCTTGTGCTTTACCCATGTAGTCCGTGGGTGGTACTGTACAGGATGGGCATATTTATGAAGCAATTCAATCATGAGGATAACCTTCAAGCAATATTGTGGAACACCCCATCTCAACAGTGTGCATTGCATGGCCATGGAACATAAGCAAGTCGACATGGTTGAACAGTGCAGATTTTAAAGGTTAAAAAATACCTGGTCAGGTACCACTCGTCACAGAGTGGGATCCAGTAAGTAAAAAAGAAACATGCACCTTAAAAAGAAGAGGTATATATATAAGAAAAGGTAACTTACCCAGTCACAGTCACATGAAATTGTGAAGGATAGCAACAGGTGAATGATAGTACCCCAACAAGAAAGAAATGGCTACCCAAAGCACAGAATGGGAGATTAACTTATAAAATGTAGTCCTGGTGCTCGAGAGATGAAGTACCTCCAACTTATGGCAGGGTAGACATACAGGGAAAAAGGGAAGTGCATGATAGGAGTAAAGACACCAGAAAGTGAAGATGGGAAGAAGGATACAAGGAAGAAAAAGCCAGTCGAAACCCAATGGTTAAGGGTGGAGGGAAAAAATAACAGAAAAAGAAGGGGAGGAAATATGATGAAAAAATAAGTTAGGTAGGCCTGCAGTGGAGGCCTGGAATGCACTCCATGAGAAAGTTGAGGAAACTTAAAAACTGTTAAACATTTAGGTCATATGAAAATGGGTTCTGCCATCATAGGAGGAAGACAAGCAATACTGGGAGCAGGTAGGGTGGACCTCACAAACGAAATTAATGGCAAGATGTATAATGTATAAATTGAACAAAATTAATGGTAAGAAATTGTGTAGCGAAATAAACATGTGGATGTGATGTTCTGTGTTGAAGAAAAGATGAATAACTTAAATATTGATAAACCCATAAAAAGAACCACAGAAAAGCCTAAAATAACAGACCCTTATTAAGCCTAATTGAACAACATACTTAACCTAATTAATTATTAATGTGGAAATAAAACTACTGGTAAACCAAAACTAAACATTTTAAAACTCTAATTAAACAATACATATCAAAGAATATCCTAAAATAAATACTTTACCGAATAATAAGTATGTACAGTATTGGGATAAGTTTGTGTTAACCCTGGCTCAAGAGTTCCACACAAACCAAGTGAATATGAAAAAAAAACAATAAAGTGAAATTAATAATAGATATGTCAGTAAAATGAATGACAGGTAATCCTAAAAGAACTAAGACCATGGTTAGCCTAAGCAAATGAAATAGTAGTAAAGTACAACTAAGACTAGTGGCTAACCTAAACTTTACTATGAGTATGAAACAATCTAATGAAACTTATGTTATAGAACCCAAATAATGACAGATAATAATATTAACAATAAAAGTAAACAAAAACTATTACAGTAAAACATCTTATCTTTCCAAGGTCAGCAAACTGTATTGAAAATGTGTGGGCCCCCAAACTGGAGGCGAAGCCCGAAGAATGTCAGTTCATAGGATGCACTCTCATTAGGGGAGGGTTGTCACAGGATGATTTGCATGAAAGACATATTGGAATGAGTCATTTCCAATGGAGGGGAGGCAGAAGGCTTGTGGCATGCGTGAAAAATATTTTTTGCATATAGAGGGTGTCTATTTATGTGAGTGGAGGTAATGTACCATATCAGAAGCATTGGTTCTCTTCAACTGCAATGCGTGTTTTTGATATATTTTCATAAAACTTGTACAATCTCACTATAGTTACTGTTATATACTCCAAAAACTAAAACTGTTTACTTACATATATATCCAACATATATGAATAAAGCAGTAAGTTTCAACATATATATGAACAAAGCAGTAAGTTTTAACATATATATGAACAAAGCAGTAAGTTTTAACATATATGAATCAAGCAGCAACAAAATC